AAAAATGGAAGCATGTGCCCCCAAAGCATCCACCTTGATGGCAGATGGACCGAATCCCTCCCAAGAGAGGCTGTAGTAGCCAGGCCACGTGTCCCACAGGGACAGAGGGGACCCCAAGGGGATGGCACACGTGTGTTTATACATATGCTGTCAGGACATGCATGTGCGGGAGTGCTTTACGGAGATGTCTGTGAGCAGAGAAAACGTGAGCTGTGCGCTGCTGGGCTGACACTCACGTAACAAACGTTCCTGCTATTACTCTAAACGAGGAATCTGCAAAGTCACTAATTTAGAAAATACAAAATCTCGCCTACTGTTGTTTCCTTATAACTTCCTCCTGTGGGCAGCCTTGTCCAATCCAGGGTAACGCCCTTGGCTGTGGACTTGGGCGCACCTCTCAGAGGGCTCTACCCACTCCTCCTCAACAACCATCCCTAGCTCCCCAGTCCCCTGCAGCCTGGCAGCCCCTCCTCCTGCCCCTCCATTGGGCCATGCGTCTCCGTGGGGTGGTCAGTTCTCCTCTTCTGTGTGGAGCCCTGGTTGGCCCAACACAGTCCCCTGCAGCCTGGCAGCCCCTCCTCCTGCCCCTCCATTGGGCCATGCGTCTCCGTGGAGTGGTCAGTTCTCCTCTTCTGTGTGGAGCCCTGGTTGGCCCAACATTTCAGCTGCAGTTGTCATCGTCAGCGGTGGTGACTATTAGGTACATCGAGACTTGCCTTGACCCGGCAGCAGAGATTGTTCTTCCCAGGTTATTCTCAGGGAAGATGAGCTTGGACTCTGCCCACCCCAAGCCGTCCAAACTCAACAGTGAGAAAGAACCTCCGTGGAACCACACTGGGTCCGATCTCGTTGTTTGCACTGATTGTAATCTGCATGGCCCCAGTGTCCTGCATCAAGGTCCTCACAAACATCCCCCAAGGAAAACTGAGAGGCCACCAGTGGAATTTCCTCCAGGTCCAGGGCCGGCCAGCCGTCTCCTGCACCATGGGTCTGATTTTTTCTGAAGTGCGCATGTGTGATGTTTCCCTGCTTGCCTTGGCCCCCAGGGAGCTCAGAGCCTGCTTCTGCTCTGTGTCCCCGGCCCTCTGGTGTGTGCGCCAGGTGTTGATCTCACCCCAGCTTCTCTGTCCATTTTCCTCATTCCCTCATGACACTGAATCATCCTGTTGGTTCATTTGTCAGCTGCCTCTGCTCCTTCTTAGAAGGCAGAAAAAATTGGTACAGAAACACTCATGACCAGTGTCACTAACGGGTGAGAGGGTGTGGCCCTGCTCTGCCGGCATGTGCCTTATCCTTGGCCTTTCTGAACCCCCCAGCCCATCCCTGAAGCCTCTGCTCTCATGGCACCTTCCTTTGGGCACTGGGTCGTCTGCAACGTGAGCACCGTGCAGCCCGCAGGGCAGCCCATCTCGGACCCAGTGGATGAGGGCACTCAGGGGCTTTGCAGGTGAATGCTGCTGTCCTGGGGCCCCTGCCCAGACAGAGGTCTTTGGAGATGCTCTATCTGGGCAGCTTTGAGGCTTGTGCACCGATGGATCGCCCTGGCAGTGGGCAATACACAGGGTGACAGGAAGTTCGCAGAACAGAATCCAGGAGCTGAGGTGCTGTGGCCAGTGGCTGAGCAGCCATGTGGCCTGGACCCACCCAGCCTCTGAGGCCCCGTGGCATTTCACATGGTGGCCGAGTGCGGTTAGATCCCATGACAGTAGAGGTACTGTGTCCACAAAGAACCGTTGCTCAAAACCCCATGGGGCCAGGGTGTTAGGTGAGAGTTGGGGTGACAGCTAGTGGGGATGCCATCTCCTTTTGGGGTGATGGAAATGTTCTGGAACACAACACTGTTGATGCAATAAATGCCACTGAATTGTGCACTTAATTTTTTTATTTTTTGTACTTATTTTTCCTTTTTTCTTTTTTAAAAATTGGTTCGTTTTATGTTATGTGAATTGCACCTAAATTAAAAAAAAAAAAAAAGAGGGAAAAAGAAAATCTTTAAAAAAAAATCAGCCAGACATGAAATGTCCAGAACAGGCAAATTTATTGGGGTGGGCAGCAGCCTGGTGGGTGCCTCGGGCTGGGGTGGGGGTGAGGAAGAGTTGGGGAAACGGAGGCAGGGGACAAGGGATAAGGGCTACGTACAGGGTTCTTTTCAGGTGGCGAGAATGTTCTGAATTGATACTGGTGATGGTAGCCCAACTGTGAGTAAACTAAATGCCACGGAACTGTGTTCTTTAAATGGGTGAATGTGTGGTATGTGAGTTGTATCTTAATAAAACTGTTATTACAAAAAAACAACAACCATGGATTGTTCTGGAGAGAAGCCACATCACTGTGGCAGAGCTGAGCTCCGGCCTGCCGCGGGTCCTGGGGTGGGAGGTGAGGCTGCGCCTGGACCGTGGCTCCCCCTCCTCTACAGACTGGCTCACCTGGGCACTGCTGGGCCCAGCGCTCCGTCTTCCCCGGGGGCGCTCCAGCATAGCCTCCGTGTCTCCCTCGGGCCAGCTGCTTTCTGACAGCGGCCTTAAGCTTCTCAGCATCTCAGACCCCTATAGAATCTGATGAAAGCCACGGACCCTCTGCTTGGGAGGGTGGGGGATTGTGCAGAGGATTTTGAGCAGTTTTGGGGAATGCAGGGCCCACCCAAAGGCCCCACGATCAGAGCCCCTACAAGACAGGGCACCCCAGGTCTCTGTGTTGGGGTGTCATGCTGCTCACGTGGCCTACAAGGGCTGCTCACCCAGGCCTTGGGAGAGGAGAGACTGAGCAGGACGTGGGAGAAGCAGCCCCCGGGACTTCTGGAGGCTGGCCTTGCTTCTCAGGGAAGCAGGAGGCAGAGGCCCTGAGCCAGCACACTGTTCCCGCCCCTGCAGGAACCGCCTGGGGACCTCGCTGGACGGTCGTCTTTTCCCAATTTCTAGGAAGCAAAACTATCTGCAGGATAGGATTTTCTCTATGCTGAACTTCTGCGCGTAATGCTTTTCTTCAACCTTCAGGGTGGCCTGTGCCCGCGCCCAGATATAGGGACGTCTGGGAACGAACATCAGAGGAAAGCAGGATTTTCTCTATGCTGAACTTCTGCGCGTAATGCTTTTCTTCAACCTTCAGGGTGGCCTGCGCCCGTGCCCAGATATAGGGACGTCTGGGAACGAACATCAGAGGAAAGCGTGGAGACTGTTGAAGGGGCGTCCCCCAGCTGTCTTCATTTCCTGCACACATGTTCATGGCTGTGATTTATATTACTACATGTGTGTAAATGTCATAGGATTATTTTCTAGTAAAATTGTTCCTAGTTAGCACAGTAAAATTTTGAAAAAAAAAAACCTAGTTTTTCATAAGCGGTGCGGGGGTTTCCCGGTTTAGCCCACGGACCTCAAGTAATAGGTGTTGTGGAGATGGGAAGATCAGGCTGCTTAGAAGGATGGCAGTGTCCCCCAAAACTCACGTGTTGAAACCTGACGCCAAGGTGATGGTATTAGGAGGTGGGGGCCTTTGGGAGGTGATCAAGTTGTGAGGGTGCAGCCCTCAAGAATGGGATTAGTGGGCCGGCCCGGTGGCGCACTGGAGAGTGCGCCGCTTAGGAGCGCGGCAGCGCTCCCGCCGAGGGTTCGGATCCCATGTGGAGACCGGTTCCCGCTCACTGGCTGAGCGTGGTGTGGGCGCAACACTGAGGGTTGCAATCCTGTTGCCGGTCCCCGGTACAGGCGTGACACCGAAGGTTGTGATCCCATTACCGGTCAGTAAAAAAGACAAAAAAGGAAAAAAAAAAAAAAGAATGGGATTAGTGCCTTATAAAGGAGACCCTTCGCTCCTTCCACCACGTGAGGACACAGTGAGAAGTCAGTGTCTGTGAGCCAGAAAGTGCTTCCTCCCCAGGCACCGAGTCTGCCAGTGCCTTGATCTAGGACTTCCAGTGTCCAAAGCTGTGAAAAACAGGTTTCAGTTGTTTATAAGCCCCCGGTTTGTGGCATTTCGTTATAGCAGCATGAAAGGACTGAGCCAGGAACCTTGAGCGGGAGACCTCTCAGCAAGAGTCTGCCCTCTCTTGGCAGACTGGTCATCGTGCCTCAGTTTGCCCAGTCTTGTGGAAGTGGTGCCCATGGCCCCCGGCAGGCCCACCGCCCCGAGCTAGCACGCCAGGTAGGAAGAGATGCAAACTCTCACACAGGAGGTGCAGGGTCCTGGCCCTGATCTGCCTCCAGCATTCCTTCCAGCTCCTCCTTTACAGTGAGGCTCAGTGGGATTCAGCCCGGGACTAGCGCAGCTTGAGCGGAAGCCAGAGGCGCACCATGCCAGCTGCCCTTGGCCGCACTGGGCAGTCCATGCCATGTGCAGGGCCACCTCCAGCATTCCTTCCAGCTCCTCCTTTACAGTGAGGCTCAGTGGGATTCAGCCCGGGACTGGCGCAGCTTGAGCGGAAGCCAGAGGCTCACCATGCCAGCTGCCCTTGGCCGCACTGGGCAGTCCATGCCATGTGCAGGGCCAGTGTTGTTTCTCAGTGGGTGCAGGGAACCGCCCGCCTGCCCTGACACTGGGGCCCTGAGTCAGGGTTGCTGGGTTATTGGGTGGGAGGGGGTACCACTGCAAGCGCCGGGGCAGCGTCAGGAAGCACGGACATGCTTGGTGGCCGTCACCACGTCCACCCCAGGGCCCCGCATCTCCCGGTTTGGCTTGTTGTGCTCCGTGTGGGATGTTTACTGATGATAAGAACACACCCATTCCCAAGCTGTCCCACGCACTGGGGCTGGCTGCTTGGCCCAGAGCTCGGATGGCAAATGCAGGGCACCCGGCAGGCTCCCAGCCTGGCCCCTGGCTGAGGGGCCGTCACGGGCCTCGACCCCCACACCCCCAGCCCCGCCTAGCTTCTGTCGCCCCTCACTGCCCTCCCTGTCTCCCCCAGGACCCCTGGCCCCTGGCTGAGGGGCCGTCACGGGCCTCGACCCCCACACCCCCAGCCCCGCCTAGCTTCTGTCGCCCCTCACTGCCCTCCCTGTCTCCCCCAGGACCTCCCACTCGCGGGCCAAGGCTGAGGCGGCCCTCACGGCGGCACAGAAAGCCCAGGAGGAAGCACGGATTGCCAGGATCACTGCCAAAGAGTTCTCACCTTCCTTCCAGCACAGGGAAAACGGTGAGTCCCGCCGGGCCCATGCCAGCTTCGCGGGCAGGCGCTGGGAGGTCTGGGCTCGGATGCAGCCTGCACGCTGCCTGGGGCTGGGCTGAGCTCGGCCAGATTCCACCACGGAAGCCGCCACCTCGCTTCGCACCTGCTTCCCCTCCAGATGGCACATGTCCAGGCACATGCTTCTCAAGTCACACACTCCCTGTTTCCGTAGCTGCGTGTCCCTGTGTGCCTGTATCACTCCCTGCTGTCCACCGTGATGGATGTCCACCTGCTCAGTGTGTGCCACCTCTCCCTGCTCATCCCTAGTGTTATTCCAGAATTTTCTGTGATGACGGAAATATTCTATCTGCTCAGTCCAATGCAGCAGCCACAAGCTGGTGTGAGCTGCAGCAAGTGTGACCATGGAACCGAGTCTTTAGCTTTGTTAACTCTTACCTACAGTTATGTGTGAAAAGCCACGCATGACCCCTGGCTGACGCTTCAGATGGCGCAGCCCTGCTGTGTGTTTGGAAGGAGCTGGAAGCCCCTGCCACATTTGGGAACCTCATCCTTCCCTCTAGGGGAGGGGTTGTGGGCGGTGCCGTGTTTCCTTCTGAAGTCGGGAGGCTGTGACCTGACAGCCTGACACGGTGGTGGTGGAGGGCAAGGAGGAGAGGTGCCAACAGCAAGGTCCTTGTGGGCTTTCTCCCAGCCCCACATGCCACTAATTGATTCCACTGCTCAGGGCTGCTTTGTCTCCTCCCAGAGCCTCAGTTTCCTCATCTGTAACGGAAGGGGACTTGATCATGTCTAAGACTCCGTAGTGTGTGAACAGTGGCCCCCAAGAGACCCATCCTCTGAAAGCTCCGAATGTGATCTTATTTGGAAAAAGGGTCTGTGCAGGTGCAGTGGAGGTACAGATCTCCAGAGGAAGTTGTCCTGGATTACAATGAGCCCTAAATTCAGTGACACGTGTCCTTAGAAGAGACAGAAGAGGAGAGGACAGAGACACAGAAGAGAAGACAGTGGCAGAGGTTGCAGCAACGTGGCCACAAGTCAAGGGTCACTGGGGGCCACCCACAGCCGGAGAGAGCCCTGGAGCAGACTCCCCCTCGGAGATCCCAGAAGGAATGAGGCCTGGCCACACCTGACACAGACCTGCAGACCACGGGAGAAGAAAATCCTGCTGTTGCAGCAGCCCCAGGACACTGCGCAGTCCTCACAGCGCTGGCATGGAGGGCAAAGGCCATCTTACAGCCAAAGGCGGGGCGTCCTGCAGAAGCCGCCTCCTTGAGTTCCTGTCCCTGTGGGGGCTGCTGTGATGGAGACCCAGTGCCCACAGGGGCCAGGGAGGAGCCGCAGCCTCATGGGATAGCTCAGGAACACGTCTGCCTCCCCCGTTGTGCCCGGATCCTGGTTCACTCCTGCCTCCTGTGGAAGACGCGTCTCGGGAGCCCTTCCTCTGCAGCTCTCCTCCTGGAGGGAGAATTTAGATCATGCGTTTCACTAGCGCTGGGGTGGTGTTAAGTTTGTTCTGGGATTTGTCTTCCTGACATATGGGCATTTCCTGGTCCACCCTAGCCCAGAGACGGCTTGGCCACATGGGGGACGGGCAACACGGGCCTGGTATCGCCCATCACGCAGCGCCCTCACGGCCAGCAGCTGTTGTTCCCTTCTGACAGATAACAAACCTGAGGCTCCAAAATGGGGAGTGGATAGTGCCAGGTCGCTGGCAGAATGTGGCAGGATCAAGATTTAAAACAAGGCCGGACCGCAAAGCCCATGCTGCACCTGCTTCGAGAGGCAAGTTACCAAAATGTCCCAGACAGGGGAGGACCGCCCACCTCCAGCCTCTCCACCAATGCTGCCAGGAGGGCTCTGGGTCTGAGAGCTTGGGACGGCTGAGACTTTGCCTAAGGCAACATGGCTATTTAGTGGTGGGACCAAAACAGAACCTGGTTTCAGCCCAGCCCTGCGGTGTCCAGGGCTGGGTCACTACTGCTGATATCCCCCCCACCACACATCCAGGACAGAGATGGGAGGAAGGCACTGGAATTGAGCCACATGCACTCCAAGCTCTGTCTGCATCTTCACAGTGAGGCTTGCAGGACCGTCGTGTGCTCTGGGGCTAACTCCAGCTGAGAACGCATGCACTCCTGGCGTGGCGCTGCTGGCGGTCAAGGGGCTGGGGCTGTGCAGGAGGCCAGGCCCCCTCCAGGGTGCGGGTCTGTGGGTCTGGCCAGGCCTGACCCCAGTGCTGTCAGCAGGCAGATGGGAAGGCCGGGACCACCACAGATGGTCCCCTGGAAGATGCTGGCCCCTGGGAAGTCTAGTCCCAACCAAGGGGGCAGTGGCAAGGTCGTGGGGCTCTCTGACGGGGCCAGGATCCCCTTCCCAAACAGGACCCCGGGAGGACAGTGTGATGGGAGGGGCCCAGGGCTGGGGTTGGGCATGCGGGTCTCAGTGCAGTTCCATGCGGACCCCTCCGGACTGTCCCCACTCTGTGTGACCACCGAGGAGCCACACTGACTGAGGCCTCGAGGTAGCCCAGCCCCATCCCCATGTGGCAGATGGGTGCAGATCCATAGTTCCATGCGGACCCCTCCGGACTGTCCCCACTCTGTGTGACCACCGAGGAGCCACACTGAGTGAGGCCTCGAGGTAGCCCAGCCCCATCCCCATGTGGCAGATGGGTGCAGATCCATAAGGGGCTGATCACTCACCTGGAGCCATACAACTGCACCCTGGGTCAGGGCCACAGCCCTGTCCTGCTCTATGCTGCATCTTACGGCCACCAGAGATGAGAGCAGAAACGGCTCTGCACGGTGGACGTCTCTCTGTAAACAGAGGGGCCAGCTAGGGGCAGGCAGGCAGACCTTCTCCTGCCCAGAAGCCAGAGGCTGGGGAGGGAGATGGGAGAACGTTGCGTCCAAGGCTGCAGAGTGGCTGCGGCTGTTGGTGTCCTGGTGGTTTCCAGGAGGGGGCAGCCTCAGTAACCCAGGGAGAAGACGGCCTGAGGGCCTGGGACTTTCTGCAGGACAGGGTGCCAGTGGGGAGACCCTGCTGTCCTGGGGCTGAGACTAGGACTTTGTGGTGTTAGGCAGGGATAAGAAATGCCACATTCTCCTATTTCTGCAAAATGAATAAAATCTAGCCTGGTTCCTGTTTCCCCGTGTTGACAGGAGACACAATCTGTCATTTTGAGGGGGGGGTGTTCCCTTTTGCTGGGGCCTCATGGAGTCCCAGAGAGGTCTCAGTGGCTGGTCCTGCTCTGCCACGCCTCCCTGTCCACTGCACTGAGCTACCTCCAGGCAGGGCACTGCCTGCTGGCCGCAGAGCTGCCCCTCCTAGGGCCCTGAGGTTGCCCCCACTTGCCGGGGCTCCCTGCCTCTGAGATCTTTGGAGACCAGGAGCTTCTCAACCACCTGCACAGGAGCGGGGCCCAGCCCTGGCGGCTGTCCCGAGTCAGGGAGGGAGCCCATTCCTGGGCTGTCATGCCAGCCCTGATGCTCAGAAGGCAGTCCAGGCTCTCTCTCAACGGGCTGTCCCAGCACCCTGACATGGCGGTGTCCCCGGGCAGCTGGTGCAGTTGGTGACCCTGCTGGGATACTGCTCAGTCTCCCCAGGCTGCAGGACCCACAGGGGGGCAGCTAGCATGAGGTGCTTCCTCTCATCCTCTGGAGGGACCGGTCAGGGGAGGGGCCCTGAGACTGCATGGCACGGGCAGGCGCACACGGCTCTCCAAGCCTCGGCCCCTGCAGTCTGGGGACCAGAGCGTGAATGCTGCCCACCCTCTGTCATGGCCTGGGACCAACTGGCTGTCCTCAGTGTCCATGGGGTGGAGGCTGGGGCATCCACTGGGGGCTGCTGGGAACCAGTTAGCAGCCCCCATCTTCCTTCGCCTGTATCCCTTTGGTGAGTGGGGAGCACCCTGTCTGGGTGTTGGTGAGGTCTCGCTCCAGGGCGTCCGGGTCACCCTGTCCTCTGTGTGCTTCTTGTCTCCCCCTCAAAAGGGCTCGAGTACCAGCGGCCGAAACACCAGATTTCCTGTGATGACATCGAGGTGCTCTCCACCGGGACACCCCTGCAGCAGGAGAGCCCAGAGCTGTACCGCAAAGGCACCACCCCTTCTCCTGTCCTCTGTGTGCTTCTTGTCTCCCCCTCAAAAGGGCTCGAGTACCAGCGGCCGAAACATCAGATTTCCTGTGATGACATCGAGGTGCTCTCCACTGGGACACCCCTGCAGCAGGAGAGCCCAGAGCTGTACCGCAAAGGCACCACCCCTTCCGACCTGACCCCTGACGACAGCCCCCTGCAGAGCTTCCCCGCCAGCCCCACGGCCACCCCACCCCCTGTCCCGGCCTCCAGGAACAAGGTCGCCCACTTCTCCCGGCAGGTCTCAGTGGATGAGGAGCGGGGAGGGGACATCCAGATGCTCCTGGAGGGCCGGGGAGGGGACTATGCCCGCAACAGCTGGGGCGAGGAGAAGGCCGGGGGCTCCAGGGGCGTCCGCAGCGGCGCCCTCCGCAGCGGTCAGCCCGCAGAGGACTTCCGCTCCCGGGGCTCGGGCCACAAGCAGCCCGGGAACCCCAAGCCCCGGGAGCGGCGGACGGAGTCCCCCACCGTGTTCTCGTGGACTTCCCATCACCGGCCCAGCAACCACAGCTGCGGGAGCACCAGGCTGCTGGAGCCGGACGAGGAGCGGCTGAGCAACTACAGGCTGGAGATGAAGCCCCTGCTGAGGATGGACGCCTACGCGCCCGAGCCGCAGCCCCAGAAGAGGCGCTACGGCAAGGGGGGCGCCTGTCGGGGCTTGGGGGAGGACCACCGTCCTGAGGACCGGGGCTTTGGGGTGCAGAGACTGAGGTCAAAGTCCCAGAATAAGGAGAACTTCCGGCCAGCCTCCTGCACAGAGCCCACAGTGCAGAAACTGGACAGCCTGCGGCTGGGGGATCGAGCCGAGCCCCGGCTGCTGCGCTGGGACCTGACCTTCTCCCCGCCCCAGAAGTCCCTGCCTGTTGCACTAGAGTCCGACGAGGAGAACGGGGATGAGCTCAAGTCCAGTGCGGTGAGTGGGCACGGTGGGGCCGGTCCCTGGAGGCGAGAACCCTGGGTCGTGCCTCCTGGGGATTCTGGTGCCTTCCCTGCCCCTCTCCACAGGTGGGGTGCAGGGGTGGGGTGCAGGAGGGGCAGCTCTCAGTGGAGGACATATTCCCATGGCAAGCTGGGACCCTGCCCCACAGGGAGCCAATGGGGAATGTGTCATATTTCCTTTAGATAGGTTCCTGAGCGGCTACTCCCAGGCACAGTTCTTTTAGAAAGCACTTGGGGGGTCTTGAAGCCCCCCAAAAGAAACCAGGCAGCATGGTGCCCTGTCCTCTCCCAGCCTTCCCCTGACTTGTTCAAACCCCAGCTGCTCAGGAGGACTCGCCACTCTGGGTCAGTAGCCCACACCTCCAAGTGTCCGTGTCCTGGAGAGGAGCCTAGGGGAACAGAAACAGAGGGCTCAGGGGTTGGGGCCCAGGCAAGCCCTGGGCTGGGAGTCAGGATCCTCTTTGTCCAGGCAACACCTCTGTGTTTCAAACACCTTTTATGTGCTAGACACCAGGCCAGGTGCTGGCTCCAACCACTGCCTGAGACGATGTGTGTCCCGCTCCCTGGATGAGACTCTGCAGTAGAGTCACAGCAGTTGTCTAGGACGACACCATGGCCTCCTTTTCTGTGGCAGCCGTGGTTCTAAAAGTGCAGTCATTTCCTGGGAGATTTTTAGAAATGCAGATTCCTGGGCCTCACCTCTGGTTTATCACATCCCAGGGGGTGCTGGGGCTCACTCACACAAGAGGACCCTGTGTGAGACTCACCCTTAACCTCACCCAGACACCCCCACCCCAAATTCATTGCTCCCCATGGCAGGCGGCTTGGAGGAAGAACAGCCCCCCTGGCTAAAGTGAGGGTGCAGGGCTGGGGGTCATCTCAGGCCCCCTCACCCTGTGGATTCCACTCCTGTGCCCAGCAGTGCCCGGCTCCCGTGACCAGACAGAGCGAGAGTGAAGGGCCAGTGAGACAGCAGCACGTGGGCCCCTGTGGAGCTGGGCAGTGCCCTGACATCGTGGCTTCACTTGTAAAGCAAGAAATAAAGGCGCCTGTCCCACAGGCTGTGGAGGACGAGGGGGATGCACTCAGAGCAGAGTATGGCTCGTGGTGAGCTGGCATCACCCACAAGCCTGGCATATTGGGATGTAAGTTTGTCATTGAGGGTGCAGCAGGGGTCAGTGTCCTTGGGTGGCCCACTGGCCTCCAAGACCTGTTTGTGCCTGCCTGAACTTCAAACCACTGTGAACATCCCCAGCTGTGCTCCCACTGTGATATCAGCTGCACGCAGTCATTTCAGGAGCAGGGAGTGATGGGCATGGGTGGGAGATGCGGGAGCAGGCTCTATATTTAGTCCGATTAAACATGTTGGCACTTTGGGTGCTTTAAACCCAAGCTCCCTTGGGCCCATGTGAAGCAGGGGACGAGCTCCAAGCCAGTCTCTAGAGTGTGGGGTCGTTCTGGGGAGGGCCAGGGAGCCGTGGTTTCTAGCTCTGTCCTCGCCCGAGGGCTGATGATCTGGGACACTCGTCAAGCCCCGAGATCACGTCTGGGCCCCACCCTGTGAGGAAGCCAACCAAGGCCAAGGGGGACAGACTCCAGTGTCACCCTGGGATCAGCTGGTGTGGGGCTTGTGCAAGGCTCATCCACACATCCTGCTGGCAAGCACGCCTCCTTCTCTTCCTCTGGCCCCATGCCTTGGGAGCTGTGCTGCCTGCTGGGTCTGTGAGGGCTGGGGTAGGGGGCAGAGGGGAATAAACAGGCCGAAGTTTCTGGGGTCCGCTGGCCATAGGTGGGCCCAAGCAGGTCCTGGCAATTCAGGGGGAAGCCACCTTGGGTGTGGCCACCTGGGTCCTACCCCCGGCTCTGCCAGCGGATGAACCCCATGGCCCTGGCTGAGTCCTTGGTTGTTCCCAGACCTGTTTCCTCCTCTATGAAATGATGGTGTGATCTGGGCCCCTTTGCTCTGAACTCTGCCATGGCTGGTGACGGCTACAGGTAGCAAAGCTCAGGGACCCATGGAGCCAGATGGTGGGGTCACTGTGGTGGTGGGTGGGGAGGGGCGATGTGTGTGAAATGCACAAGGCTGGGGGGATGGTAGGGGCTCTGGCCAGGCAGGCTCCAGGCCTGGAGCAGCTCCACCCACAGCCCCCACTGCGGTGGGTGCCCCCAACCCCCAACCTGCTGCTCTGGCTCGGACAGACTGGTCAGTCTGGGCTGACCTCACATGGCCCCAGCCCTCAGGCTGAGAAATGCCGGGCTCCTCTCCTCGAATGGGCTGGTGGGCTCCACCCTGGGGTTGGCACTGCAGGGTTGGTCCTGTCCAGCCCTGCCGCTGCGGCCCTGTCTCTGCTCCCGGGAAGGGCTGGTTCAGCCCAGACATCATGGCCCCCAAGGTCATACTGGGATTAGAGGCGGCCAGGATGGGGTTTGGGGCCAGCTTGCTTGTCTTGCTGAGTGGAGCCCCTGGGATTGTCCACTGTGATCCTGAGGAGACTTTCACGAGTGGTCTCTGTGGCACAGTCAACAGGCACCCCTGGTGCTGCTGCATCCCTCATTCCCACCTGCCCCTCCAATGACCACAGGCCTGGGGCTGCTGGGAGGCTGAAGGTGCTCCCAGGCCCGGGAAGGACTGGGCCAAGTCCCCAGGGGGACTGTGTTTACTGGGCAGGAGGGAACCAGCCCCCTGTGCATGGGAGGGATGGTGCTGGTAAGAGCTGAAGGGCATGTGGCTGGTCAGCAGAGTGGGGTGCCCCACACCCGGGAGGCAGAGCCCAGTGGGCAGTTTGTGGACTTGGGAGCCAGGCAGGCCCAGCTTGCAGTCTTGGTGGTTTTGAGACCTGAGGATGTTTCCGAGCCTTGGTCTGTCTTGCTGTGCTGAGATGACTGGATGAACTCGTGTCAAGGTCACGTGTGAAGCCACAGCCAAGCCCTGGCGCTGGCAAGCACTTGGTGTGGCATTCGTCAGCATGGTGCTTGACTAGGTCTGTTGGCAGGGGCTGTGTCAAGCAGTCTCTTTTTCAAGGAAATCACACAAAGGCAGGGGCATGCGTCAACAGCCTGGCGGGGGTGGTGTCCAAGACCCTGTGTGAGCGGGGGCCGTGGCCATGGGACACCGGCCAGGCAGCCTCAAGAGACGATAACAAGGAGCACTGAACTAGCAGGTGTGGGCAGGATCTGGGCAGCACAGCCAGGGGGGGGCCTTGGCCATGGGATCTGCCATCCTTGAAGGGCAGAGGGTATGGAGGGGTCTGAGTGGCCCCGTGAGGGTTGTTTTAGGATTCTTGGTTGTGCTGGTGCCCAGAAAAGACTAGTGTGGGAGCTGGTTTCAGGGCCTGAGTCTCGGGGGCAGCGATGTCACCTGGCTGGTGGTACGGCCAGGAGGGACAGGGGATGGACAGAAGGACCCGTAGAACAGAGGGTATCGGGCAGGAGGAAGGTGAGGGGATTCCAGGGCCATCAGGCTCCCATCATTCCCCTGCCCCCAGTGCCACTCGTCCGTGTTCTCTATGGATGTCTTTTCTGGACACTCCATTTGAATGGATTCATATGACATGTGGTCTTTTGTGACTGGCTCTTCCATGCAGCATCATGCTTTCAGCAATTATCCACATCACGGCATGTATCTACTCCATTCCTTTGTGGTTTTTTTTGGCAGCTGGCTGGTACAGGGATCTGAACCCTTGACTCTGGTGTTATCAGCACCATGCTCTCCCAAGTGAGAAACAACTCCACGCCTTTTTATGGAAAAATACACCATTGTATGAATAGACCATGTTTTGTATCTCCATTCATCCATCAATGAACACTGCTTTTTTCCACTTTCTGGCTGTTGCAAATAATGCTATGAACATACGTGTGTGAATTTTTGTGTGGATCTATAACTTCATTTCTCTTGGGTATATACCTACGGGTGGAATTACACGTGGTAACTCTGGTTAATCTTTCAAGGAAGTGATGGACTATTTTCCAGTCCCTTATTCGAGAGGCAAGTAGCTAGCTGGCAGCTCTGGCAGAGGTCCGCCCAGGGTGGCTGCACTGACCCTCAGCCTCGCGTGGTGTGGGTGGCCCATAGCCAGGTGCAGTCTGCAAGAATCACTGCAGAAGGGAGTCCCAGGGACCGGCACTGGTGCTGCCAGATGACAAAGGCATGCAGCGAGGTGGCAGCCGCAGAGCACCCAGTCTGGGCCAGGCCACAGGGCTCTCCTCCCGAGCTGAGTGGCTTAAGTGGGTGCCTGGAACTTGGGGCACCAGGAAAGGTCTGAAGGACTGGGACGGCTGCTGCAAAAGGGCTCAGGGACAGTAACCAAGGCCAGAGGCAGCTGGCAACGAGCACAGAGAGGGTAGGTGTGAGCCCAGCTTACAGGAAGGCGCATTTAGAGGCCTATTGGAGGCCTCTACTGAGCTTAGGGGCCACGCTGGTTGGGCCACATCTGATGCTGGCTGTGGCTGCCACAATGGGCTCTGCTGAAATTCCAATCACGATGCTTTCAAATCCCAGCTCCAGAGTTAGACAGCTCATGACTGGCAAAAACAAAGCAGGTGGTGGATGTTTACTTAAAGAAAAGTAGGTTTTCTTTCCAAGGGGCAGTAGGACAGCTGGTGCTAAGGATTTCAGAGACTCCAGGAACCCCAAGAGCAGTCTCTCCAGATGCAGAAACAAGTGGGGGCCTCCTCCTCGCCTTCAGCCCTGGGGATTCATCTTCAGAAGAGCAGCGTGCCTGCCACTCCCTAAATCACCCTTCCCTCTCCCGCCCTCTTGGAACTTCTGGTTGGTGTATGAGAAGTCGTGGGCAGTGTGGCCAAAACGGAGCGCGCCACCCGACGCCATGAGCTCACCTCTCCTCTCCTGTCTGTTGCAGGGCTCGGCGCCTATTCTGGTAGTCATGGTGATCTTGCTCAACATCGGAGTCGCCATCTTGTTCATTAACTTCTTCATCTGATGAGGTTGTTGCGGTGGCAGAAGGAATGGTGTGCAACACGGGGCATCAAAAGCAAAACAAGGGAAAGAGCATAGCTCGGACAGTCCAACGACTTCCAAGTCTCTTCACAGAAGACATGACTGGGTATCACTCACAGATTGCCTTTTTTTCCGGGTAATGTTTTTTGGATTTTAGCCAAAATTCTTTGCTTGTATAACATTATGCTGTGTGGCACGGCAGAAGGAGGCCAGCACGCCGACCCTCCAGCTTGATGTGGAAAGAGAACGGATCCCAGCGAGCCAATGGCAAAAAAGAAGCCACTATCGTCGTCATCACCCCTCCCGTGGGGTGGTGGGTGGGCGGCAAATGGAGGAACCTCAGAGAAGTGGCACTGCGCCTACCAGGAGGCGCTCTGCGGACAGCGGGTGGACTGTTTCCCTGTCTGGAAGAGCTGGGTAGTAAGCGTGGGTATGAGGTGGGGCATGGGTGTCCTGCACGTGGGAGGTGTGGAGGATGCCTCCTGCCCGCAGCCCCCTCCTGGGCTGGCTCCTCAGCGAGTCCTACCATGAGGTCCTTACTTTCCGCTCACTCATTGCCTGTCCGGCCACCTAGGCCCCAGGGGCCAACACAGACCCTGCCGAGCACTCTGAGCATGGAAGCCAAGGGGCGGTGCCCGCCTGGGCTCTGAGCATGTGGCATTTGTGCACTCAGTAGCAGGATGTACATTCAGGCTTCTGTGTCCTTGGCAGTGATGGCCTGTAAAGGACGTCATCTTCTCTTGCTGTTACTGACCTCCACGGGTTTTCACATCTTTGTACCGTGCCTGCCTCGACTCCCCCAACAGATATGCATATTCCCACCAGACGCCTCAGTGCTACTCCAGGGCAGGTCTGGTCCCAGGGCGGGAATGTGGTTGACACCCAGTGGCTTGAAAACTGTCGCACATCCACTCCTGCCCCCAATGTACAATGTAACTCGTTTCGGTCCAACAAAAACAGGCTCCTTCTGTCTCTGCCTTCTCTACCAGGGTTGTTCCATCATCCACACAAAAGAACCAGGTTTGCCAGAACGTCCAAGGCCCATGGCCTTGGCTCTCCTGCGTACAGATGTGTCTGGGGGGGTCCAGGCCCATCCGTACGCAGGACGCCCTGCGCTCATGCCTGGGGTGGCCCTCACCGTGACTTCCCGCCAGTCTTCTTGGGTACAGCCCCTCTTTTGGACTCTGCCTTGCTTTGCTTATGTTTAGCTGTTTCTCTGCTACCTTTTGAGCAGATTTCTTTACTACAATGCACTGGATTGCTATATTTTTAACCAGAAATAAACTAAAGATTAGAGCATGTTCCAGTTAAATTCAGTTTTACTGTTTTCCGTTACACATTCGATCCCCAGTCCTTCTCACGGTTTGGTTTCGGGGACACAGGGGAGGGAGGGAGGATCAGAAGGTCATACGATACATTTCTGATAATGCTGCTTTCTAAAGGGATATTACATCTTTTTGTACATCTTACTTTTCCGTTCCTCTTTTTTAATATCGAGTGGTTGCTGCAGACCTGAAGTGAACCAAATAAAGATTCCTGCTCTTTGCAGCTCTAAGAATCATCCATGCTGGGAAATGTGTTTTGTAATTCTGTCTGCAACTCTTTGTAAAGACTGTAGAGACTTCTTTTGTACATTCCAGTAACTGCATGACACATAAGGGGATCTACAGATGCAGGTTACATGTTTACACACGAACACTATGTGATGCAAATAAACTCGATGGCACAAGTGTGTGTATCAATGAGTGGGAGCACCAGTGGTTTCATGCCAAGGTGGCTCTCACGAGTGACGGCCAGCACATCCCACTGACACCCCACATTTCACCTGCACTCAGCACGTGTGGAGGGTGAAGCTATTTTCCGGCATTCCTGGTGCATTCTGAGCAGTTTTGGTCAAGACTAAAATGCAGTGGATGTGCTCTAGAAAGCTAAGCTTTAACTGGTTTCCAAATGGGGCGATCTGGGTGGGACAGGGCTGCCTCTGTGGATTCCTGCAGGCTGGCCTTGTGTTGGTGTGCCGTGGCTTGCTCTTCCTCTCTGCCCATAGCCTCAGCCCCCCCGACAGTCACTCCTCCTGGGCTATGTAGGTGGGTGTGTCACACTGAGCTAGGGGAGGACAGCAGAACAGCCAGGACAGAAGAGCATGTGGTAGGCTCCCAGCACACCGAGTGCGTGACAAGTTTTAATTAATACCCAGAGTAGCCTCGTGAGGACTGCTTTCTTCCCCCGACATCTCCTTGCATGCTCTAGATGTGAAAACCAGAGGCAGGGAGAGGTAAGTGACTTGTCTGAGAGGCTGCAGCCGGTGCCATGAATGTAGGGGACGGTCAGCCCGCCCCTACAAACCTGTACATGCCCCTTGCCCTGGAAGAGCCAGAAAAGACATGCTGCCCTCCGAGGTCATCAGGCAAAGCTGTTCGTGTCCACAGTTCACCTGTTTCATTATCAAAAACCTGAGGAACCTCCGTACACTTGTGCTTTTTGAAGTTTATTAGCACACAGGAAGTGCTTGGATCATTTCAGGCACCTGAAAACTTCTCCTCCATTCTTTTGGCTCCTGAGTTTTGTGATCATTAGTGCACAGGATTCCCAAAGATATAGATCAGGCATGCAATACGTAAACCAAAGTAACTGATGAGGAAGATGGTGGAGACAGAGAAAAATTCAGTGTAGCTGAGAAGATGCAAGGCCTGCTGCCCACATCATTCAGGGAGGAGGAGGGAGTCCAGAACGCACGGCTTTCAGCCCTTCTTCCTATGCAGGCCAACCACACCTCACGGCCAATAAACTTGTTTTTGAAACCCCCTTCCGTGGGGTGGGGTGCAGATGCGCACTGCAGAAGGGCGGGCTCTTCCCTTTGTGCACCACACAGGACACCTGTTGCAGCTGGAAGCAAGACCCCAGGTCGGCTCTCACTAGCCCGGGCCTCCTCAGGGCCTGTGCATGGGTGGCCGTGCATGCCAGCTATGAACGCACTCGCTCCTTGTCCTTTCAGGACCCAGTCTGGACACATCACACAGCCACCCCACTCACGCACTGTAGGGCTGCCAAGAACCCGCGTGGGGTGCTCAGACAGCAAGCACAAGGTGCCACAGACAAGGGGGATGAGTATTTGTGGGAGCAAAGGAAATGTGCTTTTTGTACGTTTTAGCTTGGGTTTTTGGTTATACTTTAACAACTTCCAAACATCCCGAATCAGCACCAGTGTTGTTTCTCTGGAAAGGATTTTCCCCACTTGCACCTGCGGGGATGGGAGAGGCCTAGGAGGAGCAGGGCTGCCCCTACGAGGAGGTTTCAGGGCAGTGTGTCCACGACCTCTGCTCTCCCCTCTAAAATTCTTCATGGGAGAGTTGCTTATTTCATTCATACGGCAATAAAACACTTTTCAAGATTAAAGGTTGAGGGACAACCTTCTCTTTTCTAGATTAAACTCTGTTTTTTAATTCTTCACAGGTCTTGTCTTCTGATTTTTCTTGTCTTTGGTCTCAGGAACTTGACCTAAGGGTGCCTATAGTTTTTAACACACCTGCTTCCACAGCTGGGCATGCTGCCCGGCTCCTGGGAACAGCTGACAGAAGCCTCTGTTCCTCTGTACTGAGTAAATATGACAGAGTCGTTTTTATACAGTATCTTACACCTTGTCTGGGATGAGGATCTGCCTCCTGTTCAGTAACAGGACCCAGACTCCAGATGAAGAGGAGATGAGTGGCTCCACCTGTTGTCAGCTCAGGAGTCCTGTCAGTTGCATTCTCTTTCCTGCCTGGCCATGGGGCAGGCAATGCTTTCAGCAAGCAAGGACTAAGAAACAATCTGTCCCCAAGTGCTGAGAAGTGTCGCTAACAGCCTTAAAAGAAGAGAAAGTGCAGTTGCCCTTGTTTAAAAAACAAAACAAAACCCAAGCTGTATTCTTACGATGTATCCCTATGCCTGGCAGATGTGAAGTAAGGACTATACTGGAGCTGGACAGGTAGGAGAGTGAGGGAGCGAATCACTAGGACACTGCAGGGTGGCCCTTCCTGAGGACATGGAAGACGGCAGGGGAAGGTGGCACCTAGAGAGCTGCAGGCGGGAGGTCACAGTCATGCAGAAGGGCTGGTCTCTGCTGGATGCTGCCTCGAGCTGCCCAGGTAAGCGAGCGTGGTTTGGCGCTCAGGAGCAGGGGACCCCGAGGGCAACGCAGGCAGCTCTGAAGGAGATTAAACACTCTCCAAAACTTCAGCCCACATTGCTTTTTGGTTTTTCTTCCTGAAACCTCAACAGCGGAAGTGCCTTAGGTATGAATGAAGTGACCACATTTTGTCCCAGCTTATTCCTAAACCTCAGAAAGGCAGGTGGCCCCGCCAGGGAGGGGGACAGACCCAGGCGCCACGTGGGGGCCAGGTTGCGGGTCTTGGGGAGGTGGGCAGCACCCTGACACACCTACCTCACTCCTGCTGGCTTGCCCTGACCACTCCCCATTGCTTAAGATACAAACATCCCATTTCAGACCCGATGCTGCGCACTGTCCCATGTACACGCACGCCCCATCCACCGCCCTTCCCCCTACGTCTGTGCCACACAGGGACGCAGGTCTCCAGGTATGCCCAACGCTGCTTAGTGACAACTGCAATCTGGATGCCAGGAGTGCTGAGGTGGGGCCTTTGCTGGACACTTGTTCTCCCCTCCTCCTCCCTCTCCAACTGCACGCTCTGCAGCAAGACCAGCCGCCACTGCCTCCTTACAGAGGGTGATGCTGTGTCTTGTCCAGGGCACGACCCAAGGCTGGCCGTGAGTGTTTCTATCACACAAGGTCAGAGCACGACATCCTATGAAACACAAAGGGTTTCCAGTGGATACTGCGTTCAACCTTGATCACCACCATCATCATGCAGCCCAAGGGGTTTCTCTCCCCCTCTAAACGGTAGCAATTTCAAACAGGAAGAAACATCACCCAGCCAACTCATCTTCAACACACAACTCTTCCAGACCTCCTGAGTCTGCAGAAAGGAGGACACCGGCCAACAGGGAGGGTGGCCTCCTCTACCCAGGGCGGTTCCCAGATACTGTTGGGGTCAGGCAGAAGGAAGAAAACAGGTGTGTGGGGGGAGGAGCTGGCTCTGCAGGGCAGGACCGTCCCTTGCTTCGAAGGCCAAGCCCATCTGAGGACTCGTCCTGCACCCCCAGCCTGGGAACTCTCAACAACTCTCACATGCGCCTCTGAGTGAGACCCACCCCCCAAGCACTGCCACCATCAGAACAGCCATGGCCGGCAGGCTGTTCTGATGCAAGCTCAGCAGTTCCCACGGGAGCCAGTGCACCCTGCCCGCTGAGCTGACCTTGACTTCTCTAGGTGGCTCTGCTGATCTGCACCATTCACCGTTCCCAAGAAAGGACATCCTGTGTGGCCTGACTGAAGTCAGCACAGATGCACTGCTCGCCCCCACCCTAGACATGACCCCGCTCACCCTGGTGCAAGTGTCTTTTTGTGAATTCTAGTGTAAAATGACCTTAGTATTTTCTTTTCAGTTTTTTTCCTGACACATGTGAACTGCAAGTATAGTGCAACTACTCTGTGCATTGACAAAAAGGGATGTTGACTGTGTTCTGATTTTCCTTACTGATGAAGTGGCTAAAAAACTAAAAATAACTCGGTTACTTACAAAATGAAAAAATTTTCTTTACTGAATGTAAATGACACCATTACTATATGTTCTGCTGTGTGAAAGCAAGAAACGCTGTCACGATTAGAAAAAAACTCTGCTCCTTTCAGTAATAAACATCATTTAAAATGCTGGAAAATTGGTTTCATCTCATTATAAATTGGTGTCTTTACTGTTCTTCTACTGCCAAAATTGCAAGATGGATAAATGCAAATTCCTTTTTAAGGAACTGAGCCTATGGCATCCAACAGTGTCTCTGCAATATTTAGAGGATCTCATTACCTTTTGGGCAGGAAGAGCACTGTGAAGGCAAATCTGAGATGAATTCCACACCGTGCCCGTGCCAGCAGGTCCTGTGTAAGTAGACGGTTTCATTCACTTACCAGGTGCTGAGTGCAGCTCCCCGTGCCGGCCCAGGTCCCCGCGTGTGAAATGAGGAGGTGCACAGGACACCCGGGTCCTCGGCACCAGCAGGTAACACAACCACAGCATTTGCCACCTCCATGAGCAGACAGAGGGCACACAGATGAACCAGGGATGGGGCTCTGACCTCAAGGACCTCACAATACAGCTTTTTAAAACCTATTTTAATTTCCTTAAACTTCAATATTTGCTTTTCAGGGTAATCACTCAATGTGTTTCTTCTCAATTCCGAGTCCCGCCCTTCCAGGCAGCTCCTGGGGTGGTCTGCATCCAGACATCCACGAAGATGGGTCCCGCTTCTGCTCCAGAGCCAGGTGGCGCTGGACAATAACACTGTGTGGGGACAGTGGGGTCCTTGCCCTTCACCCTCCTGTCCTCTGCCGTTTTGCAAACAATAGACTTAAGCCCAAAGGGGAAAGAAGCAGGGATGGTTCCACCACCGTCTCCCCAGAAAGGCTCAGCTGGAGTAGGCGAGTCCAAGGAGGGCGGCCGTACCAAGAACATCTTGCTGTGAGAGCCACGGATGGAGCTGAGCAGCAGAGCAAGGGCAGCTAGCATAGCCAACGGGGCCTCCACGTGAAGATGGCCAAGAGCGTGTGGACAAGCAGGCCATGGACAGCTTCTGATTGTTTTTAGACATCAGAGACAACCCGTGGTTTGAAAATGTACAGTTAATCAGAACGTTCTTCTCCTTGTCTTGTAGAAGGAAAAAGCCCCACGAAGCACAACACACTTCAGTGTTGTTAGAATAGAAACACCCTTCCTGTTCAGGATGGTCTCACCCTAAGCCCACCCTGGCACAGACCAGAGCTGCTCCGTGCCCTGCCCTCGTGCAGAGACCCCACAGAGACGAAGGCAAAGGCTTCAGCAGATGCTGGCGCACTCTGGATGTACAGAAGATAACCTTTGCGGTGGTCTTGTTTCAAGTCCAATTTATTTTAAATAACACAGTGAAGCTGAGGGTATTCAACCACACAATTTACTTATGGCTCGCAGCAGTGCCTTAAAAGGAAGCATCAAAGAAGGATTTTGCCATGACCTGGGCTGCTTTCAGCACCTTCTTCTCTGACACGTCGGGCCCCACGCTGCGCTGGGCAAGCCTCACCTAGTACTACTCGGTCCTGGGCAGATAGTCCACGTACTGCTCCCCAGGCGCCACCACCGGGTGCTGGTGCTTTCCACACGCAGAAGGGAATGAGAAAGAGACACATTAAGCCAAGGAAGGAGGCTTAGGCAGGCAGTTTAGAGAAGACCTCGATCCACAGAATGACTTTATCAAAAAAGCCATCATGACACCATGCTCAAGAGTAAGCTGCCCAAATCTACTCTAGATACCAATTTTTTTTTTCCTTTTTATCTTTTTTCGTGACCGGTAATGGGATCGCAACCCTCAGTGTCGCGCCCGTACCGCGACTGGCAACGGGATCACAACCCTCGGTGTTGCACCTGCACCGCGCTCAACCAGTGAGCGCACTGGTCTCTATATGGGATCCGAACCCTCGGCGGGAGCGCCGCCGCGCTCCCAAGCGCCACACTCTACCGAGTGCGCCAGCGGGTCGGCCCTAGATACCAATTTTTTAAAAAAAACTTAAGCTTGCCTCAAGAGGACATCTACAAAACAAAGTCAAATTTTAATAAAAATCTATCAAAAACATAAAGCCTCTCATTACCAATAAAAATGAGGCCCTTGGGGCAAGTGGCTGGTGGCCTGGGCTGTGCACTGTGCTCGGCTCCCCTGCCGCACCCGCTCACCCTCACCTCCGTCCTCCCCGCCGCTGTCCTCGTTGTCCTCTCCACCCTCAGCTCCCTCGACTGGGTCGCTGTCCTCTTCCGAGTCGCTGTCCTCTTCTGAGTCCGTCTCCTCCAGCCACTCCTGGGTTTCTTGAAAAGCAACACACACACGCACACACAGATAGTGAATGTGCTGAGCATGCAGGGAAACCACAGAACAGGGGTTGGACGTTCCCTCGGAGGATCCCATTTATTACTCAAGAACTGTGATGTGGAATCTAAGTCTCCTGCCCGAGCACCTTCGGATCAGCACAGAAAATAGACTACATTCTGTTCAGGCAGAACTTTAGGCCAGAGATGGGCTGAAAGATGCCTAGACGGGCAAAGACACCAACCCCCCCCCCCCCCCCCGCGGGGGGGGGGGGGGGCGGGGGGGGGCCCCCCCGCGGGGGGGCCCCCCCCCGCCCCCCCCCCCCCCCGGGGGGGGGGGGGGGCGGGGGGGGGCCCCCCCGCGGGGGGGCCCCCCCCCGCCCCCCCCCCCCCCCCCCCCCACGGACAGGGAGCAGCAGGCCCAGGCCACCTCCTGTGCACACGTCTCCCTGGGTCACTGGCCGCTGTTCTTACAAAACAATGACAGAGCCTGTGCCACAGGTGTGTTGCCTTTCCCTGAATACGTGGATTTTGCTTAATTTTTAGTCTTGGATCTTAAAAAAGTGAGCAGTGACTTGAGTCCAGTGGCAGTCTGGAGTAAAATGGGAAGGGGAGGATTAACGAGCAAAGACGGAGCCCAGGCCAGAGCACGAACAAGGCTCGCACCCAGAGGCCTCGGGAACCGTGGGAGAGAGGTGATTCTGCCTGGCCTGTGTTCACAGCAGAGCCTGGAGATGCGCGCTCAGGCAGACATGCATTGCGGAAGGTGCACCTGCGCCCCACACCCCCACCACCAGCAGCTCCCCTCAGCAGGGGAACAGGCGGACATCCGGGGTGGCTCCCCTTCCAAGACCAGCTCCTCCTCTTGGGTAAATCTGGCCACAGAGGCGGGAGCACAATTCACCACCAGACTCATCTGGGTGACACGTGGGCCCTCACCCCACCCCAGCTTACGTGGGTCCATCTCCAGCAGAACCTTCCACTCTTCCATCTTGTGGAGGTCAAGGCAGTACAAGTCACTGAGGGTGACCTGGCAGTCCCCAGTCTCAAACATGCCCCCATAGACGTAGAGCACCCCGTGCTTCACGGCCACCATGGCATTGGAGCGAGGGCATGGCTTGACCACAGGGCCACTGGCGTCCTCAGGACTGTCTTCATCTTCAGTCTGGGGCTGTCCCACTGGATATGGGGCCGCAAGCACTTGCTTGATGGTGACCACGGTCCCGTCTTCGGCCACCACCTCTTTAACCACCTCCAGGGGCTCCGGGGTACTAGCTCCCCCTTTCGCCTGCATGCTGGAGCCTTTGGGCTCCTCCTTCCTGTCCCGCCGCCGCTTCTTCTTCTCTGACTTGGGTCCCTGTTAATGAAAGGAGAGAACAGAGCAGTAAACTTATTAACACAGAGCAGGGCCACCTTGCCATGCCCACCAGGCCGGCCACGGGCTTGTGGGGAAAGGAGTCCACACATGGACTCCTTTGGGAGAGCGTGACCAAGGGCAGTAGGTATGCCAGACTGGCAGGAGGGCACCGCTGGTCTCCTACCAGTCTCACCATTCACTACTGGGATAGAGGAAACAATCCCCTGGTTTCATCATCACCGGGAAGTGTGCCACACCTCCACTGTGGTGGAAAAGGCCCAGCAAACACCTTGAAGCAGCACATAGGTAAGCTGAGGCTCATCTTGGGAAACTCCAACCCACCCACAAGGGCCAACACACAGGACTGCAGCAGCTGCGATAATTCTCCCTGACTTGTACCCTCTGCCCATGGTGAGGCGACACGTTGGGTCAAAAATATGAGCAGGTTACTTACAAGCACTGGGCCCAGAGAGGGAGCCCTTCACTTCGCTACCGAATATCCCTCCCGCAGGACTGCTGCTCACCCCACTCTGCCTGCTCCCCTGGCCATGGCACGGCCATGGCCCTCTTCTTGCAGAATGTTGTCATCTCACGAGATGACGTTTGCATGCGACTTTCACGTCTTCTGGCTACCAGTACCTCCGGATCGACCCCAGGTGGATCCACATTCTAGACTTTGTATCTGGGCCTGCACAACGACAAGTTTTGAACAGGAAAGCTCCCTGGTGTCCGCAGTCATTTCTGTGAGCATTAAAGAGTCCTGAGACCAGGCAGCCAAGGACCGCAGCACTCTTCCACCTGCCAGGGCTCAGTGCTCACTGAGAAGTCAGAGGGAGAGACCTGCTCAGGCTTCACTTGGTGCAGTTCCTCCTAAAAGTAAAAACCTGAAGGGTCCAGAAATGAAGCCTCAGGTTTAAGTGATTTTCATCAAAGGTGCCAAGACACTTCGATGGCAGACCCAAGTCTTTGCAACAAACAGTGAACCACTCTCCTCCAGCCACAGGGCTGTTTCTGGGTCCAGCTGGTCTGGGGAACTCATGCAGACCCTGCGGCGGGCTGGGGGCTCCACTCTGGGACTCATTCACTGCTCTGCTAGTGTCAGGCTGGGCAGGCGCTGGGGCCGCGGAGCCTCAGCTGTGCTTCTTGCAAGGACAGCAGAGGAGGGGCAGGAGACTGGGGCAAATGTAAGCAGCCATGACAAGCCCTGGTCACACACAGGGCCAGGCCAGGAGTCTCTGCCTCATGCATCCAGCACGGTGGCAGAGGCCGGCACCAGAACGGCTGGGGCTCCGTGACCAAGGGCTCCTGAGCCCAGCCAGCAGGGCCACACGCAGATGAGAATGCCCTCTTCCAGGAGCTCATGGGCTGCAACGCCCAGACACCCTGCCTGAAAGAAAGCAGGGCCTGCATGGGAGGGCGGCAGGTGGGGACGTGAGGGTCCCGGAGCCATGTCCTGACCCACGACGCACCCTGGTGCGACCTCCCCTAGAGTCAGACTCTACCTTTAGCTGTCCTGCAAACCAGCGGTTCCTGGTGGCATCATAGAAATACAGGTCATTGAAGAAGTCACCCTCCAGTCTCTCTTCCTCCTCCTCGTCACAGACACCCCCAAAGAGAAGCATCTGATGATTTGGGGCCACAGCCACGGAAAAGCCAGACCTTGGAGTGGGCTTGACTCCAGAAGGGTTAGTCCGAGTCCATGCCCACTTACCTGTTGAAGGAGAACAGAAATGGGGTAAGAAAGGCAGGAGGGGATCTGAGGCCCAGCAAGGGAGACCCGAGGGTCCCCCGGGCACCCACAGTGATTGGGACAAATGAAAAGACACAAGACTGTGGGAGAAAAACACCACGTGTGCTGTCTGTGCTCCCTCTGCAGACAAACAAGTCAGTCAGTCCTCGACTTATGTGCTTCTGACTTTGCAATGGGTTTATCGGGATGTCTCCACTGTAAGTTGAGGAACATCTGTACAGTTCAACACCCCCCTCAAGTTTAATACTTCTTATGGTTCACTTTGCATTAAAGTAACTTTTTTTTTTTTAAAGATGACCAGTAAAGGGATCTTAATCCTTAACTTGGTGGTGTCAGCACCACGCTCTCCCAAGTGAGCTGACCGGCCATCCCTATATAGGGACCGGAACCCGTGGCCTTGGCCTTGGTATTATCAGCACCACACTCTCCCAAGTGAGCCACAGGCCAGCCCTTAAAGTAACTTTTTTCACATACCCTCCAAACACCTTGAGCTAGGGGCTATCTCCAGCAACAGCTGAAAGGCAAGGATCGGACAGAAGGGCACGAGGCAGCCCACAACGCCACGGAGGGCTCAAGCTGAAACGTGCCTCCTGTGGGTGGCGTCCCAGGCAAGGACTCTGCTTCAAGTGGAACTGGCCTCTGCACGGACCACACCATCTCCTCCCTGGCTTAATGCCAGATCCATCTGGTCCTACCCCCACAGAGGCCTCACTGGCTTCTGCCAGGCACGTCTCTCTCACGGCTGTATCTACTTCGTGCTCTTCTTTTCCAGAAAGTGCTCGTCTATATAACAACCCTCAAAATGTAACTCAGTGTGAGAGGCAGGGGGTAGCCTTCCCACCACTTACAGAAAAGAGAACTGAGACTTTTCCTTTAAGGAGCATTTAAAAAAATAAGTCAAGGGAAGCCATGAACGACAAACATTCTGCTGTGCTGAGCCTGCGCTGACCACTTGTGCACAGCGCACATGGGACTCCATCCAGCCACCAGTGGGCCGTGAGATGAGTGTGTCACAGCCAGCACTGCACTGCGTAAGGAGCCAGGAGAGACTGAGACAGCAGAGCATACTGCACACTCAGGGCCAGGAATGCTTCTCTTCGCTTATGTAAACACTGCACACGAGTGTGTGCCTGAACGCAGGCTCAAGTTCACAGATGTGTCCACTGGACAAGTCACTCGATGACTCTAAACCTGGTTCCGCATGGAACAACATGTCTGTCTTCCTCGGCTGCTGTGAATGCACTGGGCGTGGCTACCTAAGAAGCACTTGGGAACGGAACGTTTCTGAGACCTTGGCTTGAAGAATTTTAGCCCAAGAAAGAGGCAAAGATGTTTTGCACAGAAGAAAGACCTCACTGGGAGGCTGAGGGACTTGCTGTTGGCCACAAAAGCAGACCTGGCTTCAGAGCCGTAGCCTCCTGGGTCTGGCCCAGCCCTCTCATCCCAAGACAGCCAGTGTCCTGTTGAGGCAGCCACCTCCAATCTCCTAATGAACACTGGGAACATCAACATTCCAGAATTCTATATCCTGACATCATCCACATGCTCTTAAGCAAGAACAAATACAATTTTTTATCTTTTTTTTTTTTTTTTTTTTT